AGTTCTGGCTCATATCCTATACTTCCATCAAAATTCTCGGTCCAAGTTGTGCCTTTTGAGTTGTTTGTTAGGCTTACATTTTGGTTCTTTTTGTTAGGTTCCAGAATATGGGGCCTTGTTGTACATGTTTTTTGTTCTTTAATATAGTTCTATTGATCTTCCGAAAAAATCATAATTTTTGAAACTTTTGAGTCAAAGTGTAATTTCTTTAAAAAAGGAATTTTGTGGCTTCAAGGATGCCATAAATTTTCCAGAATTCTATTTTTGCAACTTTCTAAGTAAAAAGTTGGTTAAAAATTAAATTTCAAGGAATATAGGGGTCAAGGTAAAGTTCCTTGAAGTCAAAGAGGTGAATTATGTAATTTCTGGACTTTGACTTCTTCCACCTACGAAATTCCCAGGTTGTTTGTTATGCAACAACAACTCCAACCCTTTTTCTTATTTTTTAACCTATTGATTAACCAGCTACAAATCTAAATTCAATCTAATAATTTCATGTGGTTGAATAAATTATAAAACCCATCAAATAAATAATAAACTCATCTTTAAGGGACCTAACCACTTGTCTTTTTCTTCCTTCTTTCTTCTCTCTCTCATTATTTTTTTTTCTTCTTTGTTCATGAGACAGACTCCTCCACAAGCCTTCTCACCAATTAAAAAAACTCTACAAACCTAAATATATTTATATATATACAAAATATTTGACTTATCCAACAATATTACCCTATTTAAACTACATGTATAATAGTCCTAATTGGTCTATATAATTATCTGATATTTTCTCCTACACCAAAATAGCTAAATTATCTCTATTGATTTCCAAAGCATATTCATAAGCCCATAAGGATAGACCCCAAGCCAAACAAAAATCTAAAACTTTTCAAATCCAACTTATTCACTTTTATTTTTATTATTATTATTTTTATTTCATTTTTTTATAGTTTAACCACAAGGCATCAGGTATAACTAATTCTAAATTTCTAAATAATTTGTTCTCTTTTTATTTATCTATTTATTTATTAGATAGATCCAAACACATACCTATGTCTGGTATTACACTATCTTCGACGATTATGTTGTTATTTGATATGTAACTCCTAGACAATTCTCTCTCTTTTGAAACAAAGTTGTGACTGATAATTTCTCACCTTTCTTTAGACTCTGTCGTGTGGCTTTCTCTTAATGTCTTTGAATTTTCTGGATATCGATGTGTCAAACATTTTCATAATTTTATATTTTAGGTCCAAACAAATACACGATCCATTGATGGGCAACTGAAATTCTATTATGAAGCAAATCAGTTGAAGTTTCAAAACTTTTGACAGAGAAACTAGGTTCATCTAGTGAGAAACGAGGTCCATGTCTCATTTGTATGACAGTTTGGTCCTCAATTCTTTAGGCTATACAGAAATTGGATCTTCTAAAGCATTATGGGCAACGATGTGTACCCCAAATTTGGGGTAGTCACTTAAAAAAATATATTAGTGATCTCTCGTTATTGTGTGAGTCTGAGAAAGGTTAGATATATGCAACATTTTTCCTGCAAGGACAGAGGCTGATTTTACGATTTGAATCTATGATCTTCAAATCACAATGAAACAATCTTATCAATATGCTAAGACCCAAGTAGCCAGTTTATTTATTTATTCATTTCAGGTTGGAAATAGCATAAAAAAAGACTGTAAAAGGTATCCACTGATACCCGCCACCCCCAACTGCATACCACTAATCATGGACCTCTGCCAAGAAGGAAACCACTTCAGTGTTTGAATAATATAATGAAAGAAATCTAAATCAATCTCCCCACTGTTGACGCATGCTCTACACTTTCACACTTCTATTGACCACAATTTTATAGTTTTTAATCTATTTTTATATATTTTTATATATTTTTATTTATTAAATATAATATTTTATCTATCCCTGTAATTTTTTATCCTTCAAATTTTTTGTATTTCTATTTTTCCAAAGTACTAAACGAAATAGAAGAAATAGACTTCACACCTACAAAATGGCCTAGATCTATTGCTTTTTAAATGTGAAAATAAGAGAGGATAGGAGTGTTTTTTTAGTCTATTTTATAAGAATAGTACACATTTTGGTAGTGCTTAGAGCACCATTTTCTTCATTATCAACATTAGTTGATCTTTTTTCTGGCACTTATGATCGTTTAACTTATTTAATCGACGCTTTTTTTTTTTTTTCTGATTTTGTTTTATCCTTATTTTTTCGTATATGTCCAAGATTAATTTGTTCATGTATATTTTCTGCCTATATGCAGCTATGCAATTAAGAAGAAAGATGAGACAGAGAGGGTTGCAAAGGCCAACCGTTGAGAGTGGAGTGGAGCAACCTCGTATATGTTAGGACGATTCTTTCATTAATTTTATGCAATTTTATATTTGGTCCCCCTAAAGCTTTGGTGTTTTTTTATTTGACCCACTATTTTAAATTAAAATAATTTGAAAGTTTTAGGAGCAATTTAAAATAAAGATTATTGTCCGCCCATTTTTAATTGTTGACGTGAGAAGTATATGTCAGCTAAGATGGTGTTATATAAGATTACTGCATGTATAATTAAAGGGACTGTATAATACAAAAAAAATCGTAAATCTAGAAACATTAAAATTCATTGGAAAAAATTATCATGATTTGTAATGCTAAAATTACTTCTTCTAATTGACATTTTATATAAAAAAAACAAATTTCATTCAAGCGAAACATCAACGAACCTAACTTTTGTACTGCTCTTTGATGCCAAAAAAAGTCATCAAATAGAGACCCAACACGGAATTACTTTTGTAAAAATAAAGTGAATTCTCTCTAAATTAAACTTCGTATTCAAAATTAAAGATGGCCTACCGCAATCAACGGAGAAAACCCTGTAAATAAGTTGGAAAGTAAGGGTATATAGAGAAATAATATTAAAATTAAAGACTTAAGGCAGTATTGGAGGGGTAGAGAGAGGAGAAAATGAGAGGGAAACAAAAGACAAAAAATCTAAAGATGGAATCAGTGGGTCAACAATTGGAATTTTTTTAGGGTTAATTGCAATGGAGATTTTTAATGTATGAAAATTTGTCTCATTTTAGATCTTAATGTTTCATTTGCATCATTTTAGTAACAATTCATAATCTCTTGCCTTTTTATTTACTTTGATTTTGATTAATTTTTATAAAATATTTACATAAGAATAGCCACAAACCTTGATTCAAATTTTAATTTGAGTAAAAACAACTTTCAATCCATTTTTTCAAACTTATACCAAATTAAGTAAGATTTAAATTTTACTTCAAATCTTTAATGATCAAATTTTATTCTCTTTTAAAGATTCAATATTCATATTTAATATTATTTTAAATTTAAATTTGTCCTTTTTTTACATTTGAGTTTGTTTATTGTTTTATATCAAATCAATCTTTTTACATAAATATTGGGTTGAATCAAAATTAAAGATGGTCTAATAATGCAATCAACAGAGGAAGCATATAAATAAGTTGGGAAGGAAAGTTGTATAGAGAAATAATAATAAAATTGAAAGACATAACATAAGGCGGTATTTGGAGGTGTCAGAGAGAGTAGAAAATGAGAGGGAAACAAAAGACAAAGTCTAAGATGGAATCAGTGACGACGTGTAAGGATAAACATTATAAATTTTTTATAATTTTTTTTTGTTGATGTGAGCAGTAAATGTTAGCTGGATGATGTTATTTTATTTTTTTATTAATAAAGTTTCAAGATTGCAAACGGGTTTAAATAATAAATCTGAATAATAATGTTTGGTTTAATCATCAGCCTTTAAGTCGGCGGGGGGGACACGTTGGAACGGGTTTAATCATCAGCCTTTAAGTCGGCGGGGGGGACACGTTGGAACGGGTTTAATCATCAGCCTTTAAGTCGGCGGGGGGACACGTTGGAACGGGTTTAATCATCAGCCTTTAAGTCGGCGGGGGGGTACACGTTGGAACGGGTTTAATCATCAGCCTTTAAGTCGGCGGGGGGGGGTACACGTTGGAACGGGTTTAATCATCAGCCTTTAAGTCGGGGGGGGGGGGGGGGTACACGTTGGACCTTCCCCTCCATCCTCTTCTATCTCCCTCTCTAAGGTAAACCTTTCTTCCACTGTCAGCTGACCCAAACAGAGCAAGCGCCTCATCTACCATCTCTGATCTCTCTCCTATCCAAAATTCCAACTCAGCCATGGTGAGACTTGCCATGTATGAAAAGAATGAGAAAGCCAAAGCCATCTGCGAATCCGATGAAACCGACAAGTTGGAAGACCTAATCGCCGATTTTATGTCCGATTCCAACGACACGCTCTCCGACGCCATGTCGATTTTCGAAATCTGCGCAAATAAACCCGACCCACATCTCTTCGCTAGCAAGCTTTATCGCGTGCTCTCCTCCTCTCACCTAGATCTCAACTCATGTACCATTTCCGCCATTCTCCTTCGCAAGACGCTCATCAATAAATTTTCCGTGCCCTTCCTCTGTTTTCCTCCTGAAACTCAATCGACTCTAAAACGCGATCTCTTGAAATTAATTGACACATCCGTTGACACACCTACAAGACCAATCAATAAAGAACTCTGCCACACTGTATCAGCGCTTGCAGCTTCTCTTTTACCTAAAAAAGAATGGCCCGAATTCTTACCCTTTTTATTTCAACTTGTAAAATCTGATAAAGAGAGGGCTTTGTTGATTGGTGCTCATTTAGCAGACTATCTAGGGAAGGGACTGAAGGAGTTGCATTCAGTTTTATTGCAGTGTTTGAAAACAACAACAGAGGGGGAGGATGTGCGTATCACGGTGTTGGAGGCCGCAATTAATTTCATTCTACGTTTAGAACAAAAAGATTTGGTCAATTTTCAGGATATGTTGACAGCGATGATGTCTACGTTGAAGGCGTTGTATAGTGGGAATGAAACGATAAATTTGGCAGGAATGAAGCGGACGTTTGTTAGGAAACAAATTGTGGAGATGGTGAAGACAATATTGCAGATGGTCGATGATCATAGTTTGGAGAAAGAGACGAGGCGTTTGGCCATTGAATTCGTTTTGACATTGGTCCAGTTCGTTTTAACATTGGCGGAGGTTGAGAGAACGACTCCCAGGCAGCTGAAACTTGGGACGGAGTTTGAAATTAATATGGAGGAGACGGATAAATATGGGTCTTGGCAGGGGTGTGTGGATAGGCTATCGAATTTGTCGTATAGGAATGCTATTTTGACTGTTGCTTTGAAAGTGTTTCCGGCGTATTTGGCTGCTCCTAAAGGGCAAAAACGCACTCATGCCGCACTCATTGCGCTCTCAAAGAGTATAATTACATGGAATTGTCGGGAGGTATCAGAGCTTTGCTTTTCATATTTGATTTTGTTTTTACATTTATTTTGCTATTACCATATGGAGATTTTGGTTCCCAAAAAAAAAAAATGCTTGTGACTTTTGTAACTATTCCCACCATTTTTTTTAAACTACTTTAAATTTTAATTTTTAATCACTTTTTTTTAATTAAGTAACCATTCCCACCAATTTTTTAAATTAATTGATATCAAATATTTTTCTATTTTTTAGATTTTTTGGCTTGGATGATAAGTTGCATTCAATTTTATGGCAGTGTTTGTTAAAAGAGATAGAATGGGATGTCCGTGTTGCAGCTTTGGGGGCCGCAATTAATTTCTCTCAGTGTTCGGACTTGTTGACTTCGATGCTGTCCATGTTGGAGAAAGTGTTGGAGGATAAGGATGAAGCGGCGGCCAGCGAGGTGTTGAAGTTGTTGATAGAGTTGGCGGAACCGAGGTTTTTGGTGGGGCAAATTGAGGAGTGGGTGAAGAGAATGTGGCAGATTGCGAATAATGATGGTTTGAACGTAGGGACGAGGCGTTTGGCCATTGAGTTCCTTTCGAAATTGGTGGAGGTCGAGGAGATAGCGCCTTGGCTGCAGCAGAATGTGAGGGAGTTGTTTGAAATTTTGATGAAAATGTTGGACTATATTAATGATAATGATCATAATGCGGATTATGTGTCTGCATGGGAGAGAAGTAATCATTGGCGTATTTGGAGGAGATGTTTGGATATGCTGTTTATTGCGGTGCATAGGAATGATATGTTTTCTATTGTTTTGGAAGTGTTGCCGGCGTATTTGGATACTCCTAAGTGGCAAAAGAAGTATAGCGCATTCATTGTGCTCGCAGCGAGTATAGAAAGATGTTGGAAGGTATCAAAGCTTTGCTTTTTATAATTGCTTTTGTTTTTACATTTATTTTGTTGTTACCGCATGGTGTTTTTGGTCAAAAAAACAAAAAAAAGGAGTTGAGTTTTTGACGTCATTTCACTTAATTGCTTTCTTGTTATTACTTTAATTTATGTTTTGTGATCGGTTGTCTTTCACAATTTATTTTCTATTTGTTTTTCATTACATCTCTCTCTCTCTATATATAAAAAATAATCAATTTAAGAATGAGAAGACTTCTCTTTCTAAATGCTTAATTACCTCATTCCAATTAAATTCTTCCCCCACTTCTTTAACAAATTTGGCGATGGCACGAGGTGCCAGTTAGTTTTAGTTTAATGCTAAGATATGTTCTAAAGATTTATTTTCATTTTGTAGGCACAGGTGAAGATAGAAAATTTGACACAAGCAGTGTCAATGGTTTTGAGTCCATTTCCAAATGCCCACCGTCGCGTGCGGTGTGCAGCTATTGAAGCAATTCAGCAATTACTTGAACATTTATTACACTTTCGCTTGCATGAGGAGGTTAGTGGGCTTATTTATGTACTTTATAAGTGCGTCCAAATTTTACTTGTTTTCTCTTAACAGAAAAGAGAAGCATTTTCTTTTTATTTTAATGAAACACATTAATATGTATTTGTCTAGTAATATTAGAGTGAACCAAAATTTTATCTCAGAGGGGCCAACAATGACATAGACAAAAATTTAATTCAATGAGGTTATTCAATCGTCATTGTTAATGATAAATTTTTATTTATGAAAAACCTATTAAATTTAATTTTTATGTAATGTCATTGAAAAAATTAATTTTGAGCACAAAACTCAAAAATTGGATCATACCATCATAAAATTTTATTTGTGACAACATTATCATCCTCTTTTTTCTTGTTTATAATCTAACTTTATGTCTATAAATAAATTATGGTTGCAAAAAAATCACTTATTTTTTCTCCGGATCATCAAAATAATCTAACAAGTGTTTTCGTTAGTACAAACGACACTCATCCATTTAATTACATTCTAAATGGTTACTAAATTCATTGATCTTTTTGAATACATTAAGTGACAAACTTAAATATTGGGTGTTTTGGAAAATTAGAGGTTACCAATAATTTTTTTTGAAAATATAGGGGGAAGAATGGTAATTTTTAAAATTTGAAAGAGGGGGGCAGAGGGGGGGGGGGGCATGGCCCCCTTAGGTCTACTCACACTTCCCTAGAGTTGAAGAGGATTTGGAGGTAAGACGATGGAAAGAAGAAATAAAAAATCCGTGCATGACAAGGAGTCAAGGAGTGCTCTCTAGTTTTAGTCCAATGCTGACAATTTAATATGATCCATTGATTGTCAAACATCATTATGGATCAGAGATTTTTCGGATAAATTTTTTTAATTTTTCATTTTTTGGACACAGGTGATGAGAATAAATTTCGAACAAGTAATGTCGATGCTTTTGAGCTTATTTAAAGATGACGACACTGTCGTGCAGAATGCATCTATTCGTGCAATTAAGAAGTTGGCTACAGATTTGGGCAACCACTTACAAGTCGGATGTCACCTCGTGTTGCCTGCATTAGCTGAAGTGATGAATGACTCCCCAATTCAAGAAATGCGGGTTAGTGGACTTATTTATGTACTTTTACTCTGCATTTGAACTTGTTTGGGACATGACTCTCAATCTTGCTAACCTTTTCAACGAATTAATGGACTCTAAACATTTATGAGGAAATCCACATTTTAGTTGTTTTCTTTTAACATAGATGACAAGCTTTTTCCTTCTTTCTGTTAGGAGGATGTGTCATGTACGCAAAATACTTATTGATATTTTTTATATAAATCATACAATTAAGAGTAAAACAGTAATACATAAAACTGATTCAATTGCATAATGGAAGGTGAAACCCAAAGTGCAACTTAAGTATTTTTGCCCAACCAATGTGAAATTAGTGTCAAATCCCACTTTGCCCCAACCTTTATTTCCACATTCTAAGAGTATCACGTTATAGTCTATTTTCTCATTGAGCTCTTACTCAATTTGAACAAATGAATATATTACGTAATTCTTCTCGCGGAATACATAGAACACGAACTCAAAAAAATTTATTCAAACTCATAAGAGAGTCCCACTTTAATATAGGCTCAAAGTCTACCAAAAAAAAAAAAAAATCAATTTTTGTCCAACACTTCCTGAGCTATTTTTCCTAAATATGAAGGAATAAAATTTTGTTCATAAAAGTACTAGTTGTCTATCTCACGGACAAGTACAATTCAATTGCCCTTCGTATGCAAATTATAGTCTACCATTTTTATGAAAGAAGAGATCACTCGATGATGATATTTATTTTTATTGTTTTGAATCATTGTCTATTCTAAAAGTTTAAGTTGTTAGGAAGAATGTAACTCAAGTATTTATTTTTTTACATATGATGATATTTATATATAGGCTAGATATTATGTCTAGCACATGAAAAAAAAATTATGATCTGGTGGCGACGAGACCTTAACACTGGACTTCTGCTCTGATACTATATTAAACAATTATCTATTCTAAAAGTTTAAACTGTTAGGGAATGTGAAACTTATGAATTTGTACTTTAACATTGCATATTACATGTGTAAGAGGTTTGTTAATTGTTGAGTGGGGATCATGTAGTTTAATTGTGCAAGCATTATATGTATGTCACGACTACACATGTTTAAGAGGTTTGTTAATTGTTGAGTGGGGGTCATGAATGTTTTGGAAGCATTTGTTCATTTAGCCCTTCCTTCTTCTACTGCTCCCTTTTTGTTACTGGATCTATTTTTTACATCACATTCTTGAATTTGTTGTTTGTGGTATTCCAAATATAATAAAATTACTTATTAAAACCTCGTATTTATATCATGCAACTTAGAATAAATATTAACAGTCAAGAACGAAATAGTTATACTAGTATGCATGAAGCAGTTCTAAGTATGTACGAAATAATTACACATAAATTTGTAATTAAACCAATATATAAACTAACTCGTTTGCAGATCAGGAACTGTTATTGAAATTTCTTCAAATCAAGACTAGTGTTTTTTTTTGGTACATTGGAAAATTAAACCAAAACTAAATAGACTTTCTAGTAAATGCAACACTAGCTAAATCTGTATTCAGCAGTCTCCCCAGTTGAGGTGGGGGATCTTCAAGAACCACCATGGCATCTTCTTGTTGGACTCCCAAGTTAGCAAGGAAATCAGCACACTGGTGTTCCTTCCCTGCGTGTATGCACAATATGTATTATGTTCGTCTCCATTAGTTGAAAACACTTGGCAATGAGTGCTTTGCTGGGGTGTGTTTCTTGTGGCTTAAAAACAAGAAGATTTGATAACTCGAGGGAATCTTTTTCTACCATCACTGGTCCTAACCCTCTACTTTGGACGAGTTCAAGGCCCTTTAGGATGCCCAAAGTTCTGCTTGCAAGCTCGTAGAGTCCTCCATTCTTCCATAGTACCTAACCATCAAGACTAGTGTTTGACACTATGTTTTTACGACAAATTTTGCCGCCACACTTGGTGCTTATAGAAATCAAAGCGTTTGTCTCTCAGCATACAATGATATTCACGCGAATAGAAGTAGTACTCCAATCTACTCGCCCAAAGAACTAGAAATTGTGTTGTGTACTCTCAAATGCAAACTGCTAATGCCGAAAATAGGATATATGAGACTACCTTAAATGCCGAAATTCAATGATGCATAATAGAGTTAATCTGGGTATAGAGAGAATAGTGAGTGATCCGGACAGTCATCATGTCGAACGGATACAATCCAGACGAGACTCTCCTTTTTGGAGCGGAAATTCCATATGCAATGTCGGTGACTTGGAGAATAAGGTTAGGCACTGGGTACACATGAGATCAAACTAGCCAGCAAAGAGATCATCCGAAGGCCACGACGACAAACACGCTTTAGATAGAAGGTCGATCAGCTAGACCCAGTATAGCTTCGGAGGCACACTAGAAGGCTAATCTTGTTCACTCACCTTCAGATGTTTCACCTTCATTGCACAATCAACTGAACTGGACTAACCTAACTCTTATGTATGTTTGTACTAACCTTGATAATCTGTCCAAAGTACCTGAAAAGACACATAATTCGGGATCGGGATAGAAAAATTTAGAAATAAATCTACGCTTGTTGAAGGTGAAGTTGGAAATAAAACAATTTATTCTGTCGTGTTTCAGAAGATACCATTTTGTGTTACTGTTTACTCTTGAACAGATATAACTAAAATTTATTACTAAAGGGAGCACTAATTTTGAATCAGTGTGAACTTTAAATCCAACGGGTACCGAAATTATATTTCGGATTAAGAATTCACACTCAATTCTTTAAACAAATTTTTTCAAAAAGATAAGGTTTGGTCTAACCAGTGTTATCAGAACCGGACCGGACAGGTTCAACCGTGAACGGGACCCTAACCGGTCGGTTCCTTAGTTGAACCGCTTAAGGAAGCTAACCGGCTAAAAACCGAAAAACTAGCCGGTTTTTAACAAAAAATCGTGAACCGCCAGTTTATAAAAATCGGACGGTTAATGCCTATTTAAAAATTAAATTACATAAATAAATTTTTTGCCCTAAATCAGTAAATAGTTGAATTTTTTTAAACCTTATTCTTGAAAAAATTATAAATGACACCCTTCTTTTTCTTTATAATACTTGAACCTCTTTACTTTGCTTTAAAATACAATAACTCTCACTTCGTTACTTAATTTCATTAATTTTATGGCAAATTTTATGTATTTTATACATATTTTATATTTTTTAGCTAAATTGATTAAGTTTATAATTATTATATATATTTTTTTATTTTTTATTATATGACTGGTCCGACCAGTTGACCCAACAGTTGAACCAGTGAACCATTGATCCGGTCCCCTTGTCGGTTCGATGAACGGTCGGTTCTGATAACATTGGTTCTAACCAACACCTGTGTCCGGCCGGGCGGGGTCATGGCGAAGTGAGCGACGCACCTGTGTGATTAAAC